GGGGAGGGGAGGGGGTACTGCGCAGTGGAACCGGATTTCCACGGTTTCCAGTTCTAACCCTTCCCCTGTCTCGAGTTTCTGTGGCCAGAACCTACCCCACAAGCCCTTTCCTCTCCTCAGCCTCTCCAGGCTAATGCACTGTTTTGAGCATTGGTTTTTGGCTGCTTGATTTTCACTAATTGTTTTTATTCCTGTCTCTTTTGCCTTACATTCTAACGGTCCACCACACGTCACAGTGTTTCACCGATAGTTACACTTCCGGGGCTTTTGATTTTTGTTTTTTCTAAGTTTGGGTTTCTTAGCACTCGCACGTGTAGTACATAATGCATGTTGAAAAAGATTCTCAATGGTTACGTGTGTATGTATTTTTATGTATGTGTCTGTGTGTGTATGTATGTATGTGCGTGTGTGTTTGTTTTGTATTCTCTTTTCCACTCTTAATTTTCGCTATCACAGAAGCCTAAAAGCTTGCAATCCAAAAAAAAACAGTCGACATTTACAAAATTGGTCCTTCGATCGCATCTGTTGCATGTGTGTTTTTGATTCAGTATTTTTCAGAGAATTTTTTTTTACGTAATTTGGATGTGCTGACATGGATATCGATGAGAATGATGTCGATGGACCGGATCACCATCAGCAACAGCAACAGCATGTCACGGCCGGCAATCAACAGCCCAAGGATGACATTGAACAGGGATTGATCAGGGCCGATTTCACAGATCACGAAGTGAGTTAGTTGCTTTCTTTTATCCCTTGATGTGTTCGTTTAAAACGATCGTAAGTAGTTGATGAGGATGGCACTAAGCGGCTGCTGCTGTCAGAGCTCACCAAGACAGAATTTATCAAAGAATTGAGCCGGGAATCAAGCTTAATTGAGTCTGGTGGAGACTCTTAGTTTCATTCCTTCAGTGAAATTGGACATAGCATTAATGAGCCATTCTTTTTTGATTGATTTCGATGGAATATTGACGCAGGCTAGTGTAGAGGGGCTCGAACTACTTTCATCACTTTTCGTGTATTTTGTGTTGTGACTTATAGCCAGTTTCAGAGATTATGAATTGAGTTAGTTACCTTCTGTTATCCTCAAAATCCACGTTAAAAAAAAGATGCTAATTAGGCGTCCCAGCGGACTGTTTCACGAGAGTTGCCGGTGACTCATCGCTGAGGTGTTCGTATCCTCATCGATGGAATTGCATGCGAGCTGCACATACCGATTCGCGAGCAGAAGCATCTTTCGTGAAATTGTCCCAATGGGCTGACGAATAGGCTCCCTGGCGTATGTGAGTTAAGCCCTGTGGAAAGGAGTCTTAGAAGTTGAACGATTGCTTGTGCCAATACTATTCTGAGCGTTGATATGATTTGTTGTACCTAATTCTTGCCACATGACCAGTCCAACTTTTCCTTTTGGCATACGCTGCTTTTAAGTTTTTTTTACATCGACCAAAAATGCAAAATTTGATTAGAAATGAGCTGTAACTTGTTGTTGACACCTACGATGAGTTGTTCTTTATGCCACTGTTCCTTAGTGTGAACAGTGTTCTGTGTTTATTTTTATACAACATAGAACTAGTGGTGTAGCGCGAAGTTGAAAAGTCCCACTTTCAAACTGGATCGATTAGTCTTTAAAGAGACATCTCAACTTGGTGCAGACCATCGGTCTTGCTCCTTTACCCTGTTTAGCCCCAAACCAAATTCATTATTTAATTTTTTTTTCTCATTTTCTAAGAAAGTATAGCTGCTCACAAGCTCAACGGATTGATTCTCGAATCTCGTTTCGAAGCGAAGAGAGAAAACGGGGAGGCAGATTTTTATTTTTATGGACTCATCGAAGATGTGAATTCTGCGTACAACCGTGTGAAAGTGTTCTCGATGACCAGACCTGCTTCGGATTGATTCCTTGATCTGAAAGAGTACACCGGGGCATTACACTCAGTTGAAAACCTTCTTGAAGCTGACGATTAGCAGAAGTGAAGGAATTGAAAACGTGAAAATATATTTCATTATGAGGGGAACAAAACACCGTTTATCTCTAAAGGACCAAGAAAAAAAATGGAACTGAAGAATGCAGCAAAATAATCGGCAGATTGATGACTGTGTGACGAAGCAGCTTCTGCTGCATTATGGCTAATGGTACTGGCATCTTTTCTATGGGTAAACTGCTATACGGCGAAGAAGACTTTTTAATAGATAAAAGAATGTTTACTCTTTAAACTACAGTCCTCTCTGTGTGCAGGAATTTTGAAAACCGGCAGTTTTTTGGTCCCGAAGAAAACCCACATATGTAGTGAAGATGCTGGATGCAAAATTGAGATGTGCAGGATGATCCGGCATCGTTCGCCAACACTGCATACTGTTGTCAGCACTGACAGTTTGTGCAGCCGAATGGTTGTT